CTGCTACAGAACCACTGGAGGGCAGAGCAGAGATAAATCTGTGTTCTAAGAAGACCTTTGAGGTGATCTCTGTTTATTCTTTCATATCATTATTTAAATACCCTGAAATTTCTCCCCACTCCCTTATGATGAATAAACCTATGGTGTTCCTCAGTCATGCACATATCAAAAATATCTCTAAACTTATACAGTTGCCTGATCAAGGCAACCTGAGGTATTTCTTTAATTGACAAAAGTAAATCTAAAAAGTGCATTGCAAATAACCATAATGACCAGAAAAAATATATAATAAGTTTAAATATGTCAAGTGTCAGCTTCTGGAATGAGACATGTTTAGCCTTGGGGTTTCTATTCTTTCTTATCCAGTTTCAAGACTTTTTTTAAAAAGAGGGGACAGAGAACTCTCATTTTTAAAAGTCATTTTCATGAAGAAAAAGATACACAAAACTGCTGGACAAATTATAGAATAGTTCTCTGTTTTGACTTACTACATGGAAGTGCTAAGATAAATATTTCCTTAAATTTTATCTCCATATCACCTGCAAATGAAAATGTCTGTGCTTTTTGATGTACCATTTATTTTACATTTTGAGTACTACCCTATCTGTTAGACAACATGCCTATGGTAAAGTAGTATGGAAAGGGCAAGATGTGAGGTTGTCAACAACTAAAAACTTTATCTTTACTATTCAAACATACATTTGGGCAGTGGTGAAATTTCATTTTTTTTTACCTCCAGAGATTCCAAGGATGCTTTAGTTGTAGATTATAAAATGATATCAAAAGATCCGTGAACTGTGAACTGTTTTCTGAGTTTTTTTTATTTAACTAAAACAAAAGGAAAAAAAAGAAAATAAAATTCTAACCTTTCATTATACTTTAACTTAAAATATAAATATGAAATGGACTACTTTGTCTATGATGCTGCTATAGATCAAATCAGAACATAACCATTTGTTTTATCTGTGCATGTGGNCAGAATTTGACATTTGTATATAGTTAGCAAAGTTCTATCATGGTAAAACATCCTGACCCAACCCAAAATGTGGGTAAAGGACCCACACATTGAAATATCCTTAAAACCGGAAGAAAGAAAAAGAGCAAATGATAGAGAAGGGAGGAACCTTTTATTGTTTTTTTTTTGAAAATTATCTTCAGGTAGGTTTTTTTTACCCCCCAAAAACCCTCTTTGGATCTTCCCTTGTGTAGATGTAAGTGTGATGTTGGAATCATTATACTAGTTCAGATGCGTTCTACATCTGCCTCCCGCACAGAAATCAAAGCAAAGAAAAAATTCTCGTGGAATTTTATCATCTTTATGCAGAAAATGCATAACAGAAATAGATTCATTTTGAAAAGTATACCAATATTATTTTCCCCACGTTGAGTTTATCTTTCCCACTCAGGAGAAAGGAGAAAACAACAAAAATGCTATTTCAGAATTCAGCAGAGAAAAGGGATTCGCTGTACGTATTTATCAAGCAGGAGTTTAAAATCCTTGTGTTTGGATTGTTAACATTCAACAGCTAAGGCAAAACCAGCTAGCCAACCACAAATTATGTATTTTAAGAATATGTGTCATATTTATGGAAGAGATCTTTCTTAGAATAAATTTAATGATGATAATGAACAAGCCAGTCATGGCTAACTTGCCCCATAGATTGAATGAGACTAGTTTAAATATGTTTCAGTAGTTTAAATATCTGGAAAAACAGGGCTATGTATGCCTGCTAAGGAATTGCCTATTTAGCAGTTTACAAAAAAGGATATCCCTGAAAATCAGATGCTTCAGAAAGGTGAAAACAAAGTAATACAGTAGGGCTGTCAAATTCCATTTCATTGAGGGTCACATTAGGGTTGTGTTTGGTGTTGGGGGGCCAGGGGCATGATCATGGTGGGCATAGCCATGGTGGGCATGGCCAACTCGACATCACTCGTGTCAGGGGGTACCTGTGATGGCCCGAGCACTCTGCCAGCAAAAACGGGCTCCTGAGCTCCGTTTTCAACTGTGACGACCTCCTGCAATTCTCTGCCAGTGAAAACGCAGCCCTCCCAAGTTCCATTTTCACTGGCAGATGCACTGCTGGCCGGTCCCTCACTGTTTCCAGGGCAGCCCTACAGGCCAGATCTCAGCACCCCATGAGTTGAATCTGGCCTTGAGTTTGATACCCCTGTTCTTTTTTATTATTATTAACAAACATGTAAAATACACACATACAAAACTTATATGTACAGCCCTGTTCTAAAGAGTTGAGCAACAGCTACTTGAGTTGTTGACATTTTCTCTGAAAATGCTTAACACTTTCTGTGGTGCTCTCTGAATTTCCAAGGGGAAAAGGTGTGTGCAGATGAATTTCTGGCTTCTTGAGTGTAGCACTCAAGGTTTTTTGTATTTTTAGAAATTGCTAAGTGCCTCTTATTTAATTTTGTAATTGTTATTCATGTTCTTTTTGGAGCAATTAGTAACTCTCCTAAGTTTACACTGAACAGTAAAATGATTTTTTTTTTACAAAAATCCAATTTAATTGTGTGTTCATATATAATTTTTGTAAGTATGCTTGTTATAAACACCAGTCCATATAAAGTACCAGGCCAATTATTTTTTATATAATTAAATCCGAATAAACCAATTTAGAAAGTTGTCAATAACAGATCCTTTGGCTTATTAAAAGTAATAAATTATGATATATAACAGTATATCATGTATACTGTTAAAATAAGGAAATTTAAAAAATAAGTTATTTCTTGAGTGTGAATGGCTGGTGGAAATAGTTAACACTCAGAAGATAGGCTCAAAATCCAAAAGGACTTGAACCCTGGATCCTATGTAACAAAGTGAAATTCAATGGGGAGTAAAATATATACCTTGGCAAGAAAAAACAAATGCACAGGTATAGAAAAGGTGATAGCTGGCTCAGTAGTAGTAACTGTAAGAGGGATCTTGGAGTCCTAGTGGGCAATTACTTA